CTCGGTTAGTATACTGTCTGTACCAGTAAAGCAAAATATTATTGCCACTTGTATCATATGAGCATCTCAGTGTCACAGACTCTCTGTTTTTCCTGATTATACTCATCCTCTTCATTTGGTCCAATGGTGTCAGAAAACACACCTGGAAGTAATATAAGACACGTCACAATCGCAGTCCTTTCAGTGAAACTAAAAAGGAGACGTTAAGAATCACACATGCATGTAATTGATGTAAAATGTTCTCTCTAATCACTGAATTCACTGCTTAACATGTTGAATACTGTTTAAGAACTGCTAAAAGTGTGCTTTACCTGATATGATTATGAGGATCAATAAATATCTTTCCATTTAGATTTTTCAGATCTGAACTGTTTTAAAAAGTGTCTGATCCTTCTATGTTGCTTTGAATTATAAATTATAGCCTACCATAATTGTTTATAATGAATGCACCAGGGAACTTATGTGCTTTATATTAATAATGTGGGTGTGGATTGTGATATCAAGACCTGCCCCCTTTTCTGCCAACATAGAGCAAGCTTTGTTTTTGTAAGAGCTGAGTGTGTTTCAGTCACTGTGGGCTGCAGAGCACAGTAGTACACAGCAGAGTCAGACACACGCAGATTCTTGATCATCAGTGGAACTGAATCTGATGATACTTCAGAGTGAAATCTCTCCTGGAACTCAGTGGCCTGATGTCCTCCGTATTTGCTTTTCCTCAGCATGTATTTAGGAATGTCATTTGCTCTCTGGATGTACCAGAAGAGTTCTGGTGCTGTTGTAGTTGCAGTATATTTGCATTGTAATGTGACTGATCCTCCTTCAGCTTCAGTTACATGTTTATCTGGCTGATCAACTGTATCCTCTGGTCTACATTCTGCAAATACATTATAATCATGTTACAAATGGTACTATAAATAAATATGCACAAATTAAAATAAATAATTATTAAATAAATAAATAAACGTAAAGAAATTTACTTTACATACCAGCAATAACCAGTGCAAAAACCAACATTTCCAACCATAGTTTCATTGTTTGAGAGAATGGTATATCCAAGCAGTATGATTCAGTCCTGAAAGCGTGATCTGTTATTCAAAGCCTTGGTGTTGTTAGTGATAATGAGGAGGAGCTCGGTGCACTGTCAGATGAACAGAGTTAACAATGTAAATATAA